TCTCAAGGGATCACAGCTGTGTTCTCAAAAACAGCCGCAGACTGAAAGGTGCTCAGCTTGAGACAAGCGCTGTCCCCCACTCACGCAAGCCCAGGTGCAGGGCCTGGAGCAACTCCCCCTCTGTCCCCCCACCACCCCTGACCCCGTGGGTTGTTGTAACAGGCGTGGCTATTCTTTCTGCCTCCTGGCTGTCGGTGGTGGAACATCCCCGGGTGCTCTGCCTCGCACGCCGCGCACTGGGCCTGGCCGCTGGGGTCATCCCAGGAGACAGGAAACCTGGGGATTTTCGGGGCAGTTTTCATGCTGGTTAGATGAAGACTGATCCTTCGTGACAGCGCGTCTTGGCCGTCCCACCTCCCGTTGGCGCCCTGGGGTGGGGCTGTCTTGCTGCTGCTCCGTTGCCTTCGGCCGTTGCTGTGTCCTGGCTGTGCTCTCGAGCCGGCAAGAGGCATGCGTGGGGAAGGCAGGAAGGGATTGGAAAGACCAGGGCTAGCTGGAGGAGGGACCCAGACCTGGGGAAGGGTCCTCTGTTGCTCGCGAAGGGGGAAAGAGGAATGTAGAGGGGAGGGCTCTGGGAGGAGAGCAGGAGCTGGGAGTGAGGCAGGCTTCCTGCGGAGGCAATAGGGGAGCCAGTGGAGGAAACTGAATTCACTTGGCGTCTTCCCCTCCTCTTAGCATCTCTCAGAGGCTGGGCTGGGGACGGGGGAGCCCAGGTTCAACTAACTTGGCTTCAATAACCAGCCTCTTCTTCCTGATTCCAGCTCCTTTGGGCATTTCCAGGCGCGGGCCAGTGGCGTGGCCTCGGGGTGGCCAGCGGGCTCGCCCGGGAGCAAGGCGCTGCGAGAGGGGCTGTGCCTGACCAGGCTCTCCGTGACAAAGGTAGGCAGCACCCCATGCCTCCCTGAGCGGCGGGTAACCACCATCCCTTACCCCCAGGGAGGGGCACTTAGTCGAGGTGGATGGGAAGGGCGTTTCCCACGCTCACAGGTTTATGAGATTTCAGACCCCTCCCCCTCCCCAGCCTTCCTGACCTGGGACAAAAAGCTGAAATCTCCGAATTTTTCACCAAGCTGTGATTTGGACTGAGGCTGGCCAAATGGTTTGGGTCCCATTTGACATTCCTTTAAAACAAATCAGTGTCCCAGCTGGCTGTCAGTTATCTAACTCTCTGAAACAAAAAGTTGTTTCGACCCAGACAATTAAATTTTTCACTTTGCTAATGGCCCTCCCGTCGGGCACGGAGCCGCCCCCCCCCTCACCTAAGGGCCCGTGGGGCTGGCCCTGAACCTGACTCTATTTCAGTAGGAGTAATAGGGCCACCAGAGCCAAAATCCCAAGATGCTCCTGAACTTTGGGGAATTTTCTCTCTTGGTCCAATTTCTACTGAAGGCACTTTACAGAGATTCATTAATTCAGCCTCCCTGCCACACTCCTCCTTTGTGAGGTAGTTCAGTAGCGTTATCCCTGTTTTATCTCCAGGGAAACTGAGGCACCGCAGGGTTAAGTGGGAACTAACGATACGGCCAGGAATGACCTTGAGCGGGTTACTGTGGATTATGTAGCACTGGGAAGAAGGATCCAAGAATTCAGAGCGCAAGTGGTGTTCTCGTCCAGCCTCCCTGTTGAAGGGAAAGGACTGGGCAGAGATAGTCGAATTGAGGACGTAAATGCGTGGTTGCGCAGGTGGTGTCGCAGAGAGGGCTTTGGTTTCTTTGACCATGGGACTCTGTTCTGGGCACAAGGCTTGTTAGGAAGAGATGGGATCCACCTAACCCAGAGAGGAAGGAGCATCTTCGCGGGCAGGCTTGCAAACCTAGTGAGGAGGGCTTTAAACTAGGTTTGTTGGAGACAGTGACCAAAACCCTGAGGGGAGTGGGGAAGTCGGATACTGGGAGGAAATGCAAAGAGGAACAAGCAAGAAAGGAGGACCCCTGGTTCGAATGGAGAAGGCAGGGTGATCAACTGGTTATCTGAGGTGTTTGTACTCTAATGCGAGAAACCTGGGCAACAGACCGGTTCGGTTCTAGGACCGGTTTTGTTCAATATCTTTATTAATGACCTGGATGAGGGGATGGATTGCACCCTCAGCAAGTTTGCAGATGACACTAAGCTAGGAGGAGATGTAGATACGCTGGAGGGCAGAGAGAGGATCCAGAGAGAGTTAGACAAATTGGAGGATTGGGCCACAAGAAATCTGCTGAGGTTCAACAAGGACAAGTGCAGAGTCCTGCACTTGGGACGGAAGAATCCCAAGCATTGTTACAGGCTGGGGACCAACCAGCTAAGTAGCAGTTCTGCAGAAAAGGACCTGGGGGTTACAGTGGATGAGAAGCTGGACATGAGTCAACAGTGTGCCCTTGTAGCCAAGAAGCCTAATGGATATTCGGAGCATTCCAGCAGATCCAGAGATGTGATTGTTCTCCTTTATTCGGCTCTGGTGAGGCCACATCTGGAGTATTGTGTCCAGTTCCGGGCCCCCCACTACAGAAAAGATGTGGACGCATTGGAGAGGGTCCAGCGGAGGGCAACCAAAATGATTAGGGGGCTGGAGCATATGACTTATGAGGAGAGGCTGAGGGACTTGGGTCTGTTTAGTCTGCAGAAGCAAAGAGTGAGGGGGGATTTGATAGCAGCCTTCAACTTCCTGAAGGGAGGTTCCAAAGAGGATGGAGAGAGGCTGTTCTCAGTAGTGACAGATGGCAGAACAAGGAGCAATGGTCTCAAGTTGTGGTGGGAGAGGTCCAGGTTGGATATTAGGAAAAACTATTTCCCTAGGAGAGTGGTGACGCACTGGGATGGGTTCCCTAGGGAAGTAGTGGTGTCTCTATTCCTAGCAGTGTTTAAGTCTCGGCTTGACCAAGCCCTGGCCGGGTTCATTTAGTTGGGATTGGTCCTGCCTAGGGCAGGGGGCTGGACTTGATGACTCCTGAGGTCTCTTCCATCTCTATGATTCTATGATAAGCAGCTTGCGGAAGGCATCACAGCAAGAGGGTGGCAGAATTGGGAACAGAAGGCAGGAGTCCTGGCTCCCAGCTCCCTTCTCCAGCCCCTGGGCACTGCCTGTAATACACACGAGAGCCGATACAAGATGAGGGGGGGCGGGCTGTATAGGCCAGTTTGTCTGAAGAGCCCAGTGTCTGACAAGTAGTAAAAATCTGGCTTGGTAGAAACAAGCAAGTCAAATGTAACCTGGGAAGGATCCCATGAAACACGGGCAAAGCTGACCAAGTGCACCGCCATTTTACACACTAGTCCGTTTGTGCGTCAAACCACAAAAGAACAAAGGAAAAGGGGCCGATGGACTCGATTGTGCAGGTGCTCTGCTTCCGCATGGCTCCTTCTGCGATGGGTAGTGCGGGGGGGCCCTGCTGCTGCCACCCCATCGTAACCTGGGAAGGATCCCATGAAACACGGGCAAAGCTGACCAAGTGCACCGCCATTTTACACACTAGTCCGTTTGTGCGTCAAACCACAAAAGAACAAAGGAAAAGGGGCCGATGGACTCGATTGTGCAGGTGCTCTGCTTCCGCATGGCTCCTTCTGCGATGGGTAGTGCGGGGGGGCCCTGCTGCTGCCACCCCATCACACCTCCCTGGGGTAGGGGGGAGGGCGGGGTGATGGTGGGAAGGGGCGGAGCTTGGGACTGATAACAGACAGCCCCCCCAGACCCACTGTGAGTCCCAGGCTGGATTGCGCAATCGATACAGCCAGGGATGGCTCACGGGGTGGGAGTTTGAGACTCCTGCCGTGTGGCTACCCTGGTGAGTCCGCACTAATAAACAGGGGGCTGCTTTGGCTCGTGCCCTTCCCCCGGGTATTGCACCAATGCGGCCGGCGGCGAGGGGGGCTCGTAGCAACATTGTCTGATGGGAATGGTGCTGGTTTGCCCCACAGCTGAACCACCTGGTGACGGAGCAGCTGGTGCAGTGAGGCGTCCCGGCCGAGGGCATTTCAGT